TTTAGGATGATGAAGACTCTAGAACACGGCCATATATAAAACGACCGCTCAGCATAGAGGTAATTAACTAACGTTATTTTTACCCAAAGGTCAAAGCTGTTCATGATGTTTTCATCACCGGCAGGAAGTTCCCTTTGCTGATCCTTTGGAGTGTTTACCGCTCAGAGCACTTGTGGAAGCTCACCGACCACGATGAAGAACACTGCGCTTTGTAGATGGCTATTCGCGTTCTTTTTACTTCGATGTACACAATGTTTTCCTACAGGTAAGCACATCTTTATTATCACCTATTTTTAAAATAATTTGTAATTGCTGCTTTCYGCTAGAAGTTCGTGAGTCAAACGTCCTTACGAGCCAGCAAACCAATTTGCTTTGTTGATTGTTTTATTGATAGSGGAAGATTGGAAGATTAGGTAATTTTCTAAGATCTTGATCAATAGAAGTGTTTCAGTTTCGTGACTTGTATCACCCACTAAAAATGATTTTTTTTAATGAATGCATGTCCATTGCTTGTATTAATGTTGATATTCTGTTTCGTCGATCGTGCAGCTCATCTTGAAAATCATATCTAGGATATTAATATGCGAACACKTAGTCTGAAGAGACAAAATAATCCATATAGACAAAAAAATCGCTCAATGGAAACGTTTCACTGCTTGAGAAACAAGCTAAGTCTCTGGAACAAGGCACGATAACCAATAATAACAATGCTATAAGCCGTGCCTACGATGAATCTACGTGATCAAACTACGACAATTTAAACGGGGGGGGGGGGGATTGTCTATTTGCCTATCACACTTCAATAGTTAATTTTTATTTAAAACGTTTTTAAACGTTAAAATGACCTCACTCTTAATCTATTATCAATAATCGTGAACTTAAAAAAAATAGAGTGATCGCACTTAGAGTCGTTCTCATTAACCCGTGGAACAAAGTGTAATAGTAAAGGAGAGACAAAGTGTATGAGGGTGTACCACATAAAATTTCAAATTCATATTTATAAAGGACACAACTGCAAAATTGCAATTTTCGCAATTTATTGACTGCACTGCGATTTTCCACGAACGCATTTCTTGACATTTAGAGCGCTTATGTGTTCAAAATCATTTACAATATCAAGCACACAGGTCAGTCTTACATGGGTATTGTGTTCTTATACAATAGGAAAAAATTCCTATGCAAATATCTGTGTTACTCGTGAATAAAAGAACAGAGAAAGTCTAATAAAGTGTAGTAAAGAATAAAGCGCTAAGGTGTGTTCCACGGGTTAATGAGAACGACTCTAATCCGTGCAACTGTACAAATTAAATAGTGATGTTTAGGTGTATTTAGTAAATCGTGCATGCGGTACACAAATTAAATTGAATTGATACAAATGATCAGCATTCTATACAGCTCTGCTAACCAAATATATACAGCCTTTTGCAAAAATTATGAGAATTGTTGAAATATCTAAGTATCAGAATATCAAGTGCATGATGGGTAATGCCGCGCGATGCTCTTAGTCCCTTGTCTTTGTAGTTTAGGTTTTTTTGGCGACGGACTTATCCGTAGTTCTGAACATTTTCTCGGATGTCAACAATGAATTATTCTAGCAAACCCGCGTGTTCCGGACAATATATGGATATGGATATTATGATATTTAGATATTTAGACAATTCTCATAATTTTTGCAAAAGGCTGTACAGTCCTGAATAGCGTAATATAGTGTATATGAGACAATAGCTGAGACAATAGAAAACAAAGAAATTAGCGTAAACTCAGTATAATATAGCRCTCTTGATTAGAGAGAATTTTAAGACATCAARCCCGTGAAACAAAACTTGATTATGACTAATATTATCATAATAAGGTGCATTAGTGTAACGTCTGTTTCACGGGTTTTTCGACTTCACTCTAAATAATTAAATGTAATTAAGTTGCTGCAAGTGTAAAAATACATATTGCGCGTGCAGAAGCTTAAAGCTCATTTTAGCTTGTTTTATCAACCCACACATGGCCGCTAAGCTAAAAAGGCTTAGCTTAGAACCCTTGCACCTATTGATACCACGACATCGGCGGTCATGAGAAAGGGCGTATTATCATTGGCAAATTGTTTGCCCATGTGGTAGTTTGTTTTAACACGGCACGTTTGATACTGTTTTTTTTTTTTCTTTTTCGGGATCCGTATAAACTCTTATACTCTGGATTAAATAAAAAAAAACAATCTTACTAAACATAGCTTTGCTTTCTAATTTCAGTCCATGGTAACTGGTCTCAATTCTCCGATTGGTCAAACTGTAGCAGAGAATGTGGAGGGGGGTTTGAATTCAGATATCGTACGTGTACAAACACGTTTCCCCGAAATGGCGGGAAACAGTGCGATGGCACTGGTGTGCAGACACGTGCATGCCACACCCATGAGTGTCCACCAAGTAAGCCTGATGGTATTGTTTTTTTTAGTCTCCTCGCAGCCATTTTTAGTGGCGGGCAGAGTTCTCACTAAGAACGTCTTCAAGGAGACTATGGTTTTTTATTTGTTTGTTTGTTTTTTGAGAGGAGGAGGAAGGACTTGTTTGTTTTTTACTTCAGATTTATAAATGTTCTTTCATTGAATGGTTCATTCGTGCTTCGTCTAATAGTCTCCTTGAAAATCCCCTGCGACATCTTGAAAGTAGCCGTGCCTATCGAAGCGAGAAAACCGGTGAGATTGCAATGATAGATACCGTGAATAATTGTCTGTAGGTGCGAAAGAAGGTTTCTATCATTGCGCGCTCAACGGTCGTCTCGCTTCGATACAAAGGCACGGCTACCTTTCAAGATGGCGAAGGGAACCGTGAAGAAGACATTTAGTGGGTAGACTCATCACTTCTATCTTTGAACTTATTCTTCTTGTATTTCAACAGAGATTTGCTCTTTTGATCATCTTGTGAAGTTTGTCGCGGATCTTTTTCCTGAAAAGAGTTTCGAAGTTAACAATCAGTTCATAGGAGCCTTACACCAGGTTACAAGAGGTGAGAAAGTAACTTCTCTTGTAAATTTCGACCGGTTTCAATGTGTTTTCTAAATCGAAATGAAATAATGAAAAAAGAAAATCGTGGCATATTCAGCATTTTCTCAAAGACAACATATGATCGCCAAAAATATAAGGATTTAGTCAACAGAATATTCTCTTTGAAGTGTCCTAATATTTGTKTGGGATTATTCACAAGCAAGCAAGCTTCTAGCGCAAGTGTGACCGCAACCTAGTACTCATAAAATGCATGGCAGAAATATTTGCAGCGGTGAACATAATTTACGTGGTTGGTACTCTCAAATTTCATTCAGCAACTTAGTTTGACGCATTTTATATTYAATTTCCGTGCAGTCTGAGAGCAAAAGGGTGTTACCGCATGCTGCACGCTGAATTCCAATACCATCCATCAACATGTATAAAATTGAAATAATAATCTTTTTCACGGTTCCCTGCGCCATCTTGAAAGGTAGCCGGACTTTGCATTGAAACGAGACAACCGTTGAGCGTGCAATGATAGATACCTGTAAATAATTGTCTGTAGGTGTGAAAGAAGGTTTCTCTCATTGCACGCTCAACGGTTGTCCCGCTTCAACGCAAAGATTCGACCACTTTTCAATATTAGTAATTACTAATTAGTAATGGGCCGCTGATGGGACTCATTCTGAAAAWCACGTAAAGTAGCGTTCATCTGAAAGATTTCATCGTCGATTCGCAGCCCAAATCTATCCATTTAGTAATATCTCCCCAGTCCCCTTAAAGCCGCTGCGCAGTCTAGTTAGCCACACTCTCATGTAACGTTCAGGATCCGTCACTGATGTGTATTTTTTTACTTTAAGCTAAAGAGACCGCTAAAGGAATAACAAGCAACGTCAGGCTGGATAAAAGACATTTAATCAGACGCATAAACACAGCCGTCGATCAAAAAGAGCTTTACTATGGGCGAGTGATGCTTGGCTTTTTAATACAAAGAAAACAAAATTGTTACGTAAATGGACAAAGGATTTTTAAAGAGGTGAAGGAATCCCTTGGCGATGAAAGGTTTAAGGTAGTTTTTCTTGTATTGATGGTAAGATTATTAGAAATGGRCGGTAGGTAAATCGCCAAATCGGCCTATGGGGTCACCGTGTTGAGATGTAACCCACCAGGCAAGATGAGAAATTAGACGTTTGAACTTTTAGATAGGTTTTATCAAAACACTWCCAAAAAACTCAAAAATCRGTGTATATTCATGGCTCGCACTGTGGCTCGCAGGCTCGCGTATTCTACGGACTCGGAAAATTACTGTTACAATATTATAACATGCAACACTAGTAGATAAGGCTAAAGGCACAATGTTTGATCCCTCAACAATGTYTGATGGTGAAAGAGGCTTGTATTTTTCTCCTATGGMCTCAAGAGGTGCTCTCCATTTRCAAACGGCAAAAACCGGATTCTCGAGAGTTGCGTCAACATTTTAAAAGGCTAAGCAGGAATCTATGCTTTCAATTTCCGATCCGTTCAAAATCGCCTATTTTTTTCCGGGTAGAAAGTTTATTAATGGCATTATTRTAATCCCTTTTCCAGGATCTGCTTRGTCTGCATGGCAATGTCTCGCTAATCTTTACACTTGACACTACCAAAAGCATGAAAGAAGAAATTCCACAGATAAGAGCACTCGCTAAGGCTCTCAATAGCTATAGCAGAAGAACAAAGGTGGAATACATTCTTTCAACGTACAACGACCCAGGTAAAATGGATTATACCAATTTTTAAAAATTGAACCTTTTTACACCAAACGACTATATGTAATGTATATAAGTCTATAATACGTATGGGAACAGGGGAGAATCCAACAATGTCTCCGGGGGTATCCCAAATGAAGAAATGAATTGTAAGAAATTTAAAGTGCTACTTGCATGAAAATGGCCTTATTTCAAAACTTCAAGCAATACAAATATATGACTCATTTATATCTATTAAAAACAATTGCGGGAAAATATTTGTCATGGAATTATCCCACATCAGAGAAATTTTGATTTAAAAGATGGAAGAACAAAAGGATTGAGTAAATGACGTCATCTACTCCAACATTTTTTGCCCAAATTATTAAGGATTTGCATCAATATTTTCTTGAAATCTGTTGCTTCATGATTATTACACCCATATGGATAGGTCTATTTGATTTCCAAGTCTTTTCTAATGTTTCGCATACAATTTTCGTCCAAGTAGCCCTTTAAAATATTGATCGATATACATAACACGCGTACCAGTGCACAAATAACACTATCTCTTGAGCAATGAATGTTGTTTCAAAATTAATGACATGATTTTTCCAAATGTTAGGGGAATTCCTGTGCACCAATACTCACACCCCTGGATCCAACCCTGCAGACATCTCTATGTCTGAACATAAGGGGAATACMGATAGTAACCCGATAGCAACTCTTCGTGCTGCGATAAGCCTCTTCATCTGAATTTCTAGCGGTTCTAGTTAATCGGATTACGGATCTCCAGGACTGCGTTTCAGACTATTCGACCATTTTCCTCCTAGAACCCTGTCGAAATGAAACAGGATTGATAACCCAACACAACTTAACATTTGACCTTCTTGTTTGAAGTCGGTGAATGTTGTTGGAAAGATCCAGGGATGATCCAGGGATGGCAGGCATTTCTCGGCCTGAGTTTAATCATACTTAGTGAGATCTTGTTTTYGCCCTTTTTATATCGTTATGATAATAAGATCTTTTCTACAGGCACTTGACCTTGTCATCAAATTCCGACGTCGAATSTCAGCAGCTGCGCCACTTAGACAAATCTATTATATGAACTGTATATACCAACTAAGATTTAAATTTAAAGATTTTTTGTTTCTAAAAGTGGCATCTTGATGTTGCTCTCCTGACGTGATTCTTCTGCGCATGATATTTTTATCGCGAGGAGTGACATCCCTGATTTTCAGCCTGGGACTGACTCCTACACAAACTTCCAAWGGATTTGGAGTGAAGCGTCAGCCAGGCTTTAGCAACGATAAACAACTAGGTAACTCTAGCCTATAGACKTCAGGAGATGCAGACTTTGTCCATTACGTGGATAAAAAAAATTGCATGTTCGGTGATAATGCAGCCCCTCCAAAGTTAACAGGAGTGCCTGCAAACTAACTGCCGTAGCCTTYATAGGTCGGCCCTAGAGCGAAAACATTTTGCACTGAATTTGTCAAGGAACATGTTCACTTAATTAACTTTAAATATTATTCCTTACACTCTTCCTTTCATAGACCACGGCCTGGTGAAAAGATTTGCAAACGAAGACAAGAGAAAATTTGACAATGCAATTGGCCGTCTGTCGACATTTGGTGGCGGTGACTGCAAGGAGCCCACATTTGAAGGAATCATCAACGCTATCGACCTTGGTACTCCATTTTCAAGCTCTCCAATCTATGTATTCACTGATTCTCCATCTAAAGCAAAAGGCTATCGCACATGGGATGCGGTTATTGGACTTGCACGTGACCAAATGATGAACATTAACTTTTTCTTTAGTTCATATGGCTGTGCTAATCCCATGTTGGATAGAGACTACCGCAATRTCATAGAAGACACTGGTGGCGTAGAACTATTTTTTTCCTCTCCACTGTCCTTCTTTAGAGCCGAGGATGTCATTAAATCCGATTTAGATGGGACTGCAATCATTTCAACTGGAAGCTACAAAGGTAAATATTCCTTTTTGATATTATCGTTGTCAGCTAAGAAATTTGTGCAAAGATGATTTAAGTATAAGGTCTTTGGGGAGAAGCTCCAATAGCCTCCTTCACGGTTCTCTTTGGCCTCTTGAAAGGTAGCAGTGCCATTGCATCGAAACAGGACGATCATYGAGCATGAGCAATAATAGAAAACCTCTTTCACATCTAGTGACAATCATTCACAAGGGTCGTCTCATTTCGATCAAGGCACGGCTACCTGRCGCTTTATGCAGGGAACCGTGAAGGAGACTGTACAATTCTCGAGAGACTGATATTCCCCTCGAATTCAATAACATTAGGTAGTGAAATCCGAATGGCATCGCGACGAATTGAGTTCCCAGTCGATAAAACCATCCTTCGGCTCATCGTATCCATCTCTGCTGTGTCCAATCGTTCTGCGGTGAGCCTCTTCGACTCCACTGGCAACAAAATTCTAAGAAAGCTTCAGATGTTTGAAGGAGTGCTTTGGATTGTTGAAAATCCTGCCAATGGAACCTGGGCACTAGTAATTAACCCTTCAGTCAAAACCTGTTTCTATATGGTAATACTCTAATTGGAAAGATAGCCAAGCCTTTGCATCAAAGTGAGACAGGAGTTAAGCCTGCATGCCTTTTGTCCACACAATTATATAGGCAATTATATATTCACAGGCATCTATCATTGCAAGTTGAACTAGTGTCTCGCTTTGATGCAAAGGACTGACTTCTTTTCAAGATGTCACTTGGAACTCTAAAGGCCCGTTTACACTTGCGATTTCTGTATTGATATTGTAGCGGCGATCGTCGCGCCAACACCGCCTGAGCCTTGAACATGCTTGAAATTTAGCTRCGACTTTGCGGCGCTTGTCGATCGCTACAATAATTGCTGTTTACACGTACGATTTGTGTGGCACCATAACAGAGCGGCAATTRTCACGCGAAAATAGTGCTGCTAAGGTTGAACGGGCCGCAAAATGGAGTAAACGTGCCTTGTCGTTCTACTTCAATTATCTGTATTCTTTATAAAAGCGTCTTTTATTGATCAAATATCTAGAGTTTTACATTAATGYTTTTTTGTTCTTAAGATCAAAGCAAGTAATGTACTGAATATCAATTTTGACCTCATCTTTGTGAGAACGCCACAGCTGTCACGCCAGCAAGTACAAATTTCAAATCCACTTCAAGGTAATCRTGTAAAATAATTGTTTTTCAATAAGAATATCGAAAAAGCATTCGAGAAATCCTATTGAGACGAATGCAAAGTTTGGGCGAGACAAAAAATATTATTGAACAAGCAGCGACGCGCATACAGACATTCGACAATGAATTTTAGTTTTCCTGGCAATCTATATYACATTGTTAAGGCCAGTACATACGAGGAAGGTTGCTTGCGCAACACGCTCGAGCAACATGCTTCCCTCGTCATGCACAAGCGTTCTCATGCGAAACTAAATAAAAATATTGAGCGACAAAAGTTTTGCCCCAAGGTTTGCTCTCTCGTATTAWATTGGTTGCACATGAGGAAGCAAGCTCCGAGGGCAAATCAGTTGCAGGAGTAAACTGCTTTGCGCGTGTACCGACATAAATTCGTTTATCGTACGCTTGAATTTATTCCTTTGTCTCTTCTTTTGTTCTCATCTCGTTATATAGTTTTATGTCGTGTGTCCTGGATTTACAGCCTTTTGCAAAAATTATGAGAATTGTCTAAATATCTAAATATCACAATATCCATATCCATATATTGTCTGGAACACGAGGGTTTGCTAGAATAATTCATTGTTGACATCGAGAAATTGTTCAGAACTACGGATAAGTCTGTCGCCAAAAAAAACTAAACTACAAAGACAAGGGACTAAGGGCATCGCACAGGATTACCCATCATACACTCGATATTATGATATTTAGGTATTTCAACAATTCTCATAATTTTTGCAAAAGGCTGTATACGACATATATATATATATATTTATTTTACAGGCGAAAAGGCAAGAGCAAAGGTAATTATTCCTAGACTGTCAAGACTAAATAAATCAACACTCAAACTCTATCTTCTGGACAAGTATGGCACACCCATCTCACCACTTCTCTTGAGCAATGAAGGCGAGGTTACGTTTGACCTCCCCGCCACAAATTCATTTAGAATTCGTCTAACTGGTAATACATCAGATGGTGAACCGTTCATGCGAACGTCTACAAATATTAGACCTTCAAAGGCTATATTAAGAACGAAAATCCTCCCAGATCTTCTGAACATTAAGCGAGGACGAATTTCATATTTTCGGGCAATTATCGACTATGCTTCGGAAAGACCTCGGTTATTCCGAATAGTTGGATATTCGTTTACGAGAGGTATAAAGTTAACCATGCGAAGAACAGTGCGGGTTACCAAGTCAAGGCCTGGCTCCATTCCAGTGTTTATTGTTACGCGATTTAAGGTACCTGCTGGTACTGTTGCTAGGATACACATCACGGCAAAGAGTCATGACGTCAGAACTCATTTACTAGAGAGTRTAATGGTGACATAAGACAGTGTAAGTTTTTTTTTTTTCAAGATATGACGAAAAATTGAAATTTGAAAACAAAGAAAGCAACGATATCTTACCAAGAAAGATACAACTTAGTGATACATCAGCTTATGCATCAAAGTATTAACAATTGTTTTTGCTCCCAGTGAAAATGGATTTAACATTTACAAGTTCGAAGCTGAAAACCTTTTACTGTGATCCACTTAACTCTTCCATATCAWCGAAAAGCTCTTAATTACGAGAAATTCAAAATCACACAGCGAGATACAGATGCCGAGTGGCTAAATCACTTATTGGGCTTTAAAAAAAATGTACGACCGGAGACAGGCTCTCCTAACATGTGAATATATTGTTGTTATAAATTATTCTTCGATTTTGATGGAATAGGATTATAGAATAATCTTAACCATTTGAACAGATAAATCATAAGGTCCGTCAGAGACACTTACTTTGTTGTTATTACTGACAAAGCGGCTAACCGCTGGAATTTCAATTTCGCTCAGTTTATTGTTTTTCGGTTCAACGGTTTTTCCARCAAATGAAAGTTAAGTGCTCTGTTTGCGATTTTTACTGCTAATTTGAATTACAGCGGTTAAAATTTTATCTTAGTTTT